AGATGGAATTTAGGATTCAGATGCTAAGATGTAAAAGGAAAGAACAAAATCCAACATGGAAAGAAATACCGAATAGAGAACACTCCCCCGAGTGGCTACACATCTTCACTGTAAGCAGTAATCTCAATGTGCAAGTATTGAGGCTTGAGTTATTTACATGTCTCTAACCCTCTTACCTTCTAATCAAGATCATTCTAAGAGCTTTGCATTTAGACTTCCAATTGCGTTAAGCAGCCACAAGTCATTCCTTTGTCAAATGCTGTATTGGTACCATTATAATCTCCTAGGGATTAAAAATGCATTCATTCTTTTTTATCCTAATGTAGTTTATCTCTATCAAAGTTGTGTTTTTGTTTTCCATGCTAATGTCTTCACAAAATTGATAGTAAATTCACAATAAAATAGAAATTAAAATAAATCATCTATGTCTGTATGTTGTCTACCACAGTCTTCTTTTATTCAATTAGTTTTTGATTGACTACTTAGAGGAGGCATGTGTAGTTTGTGGATTTTTTTCATATAATTTTTCTTCTCTTCTTGCTCACCTCTGAGCAATTTTATCCTTTATTAACAATGCAAGAATTAAGAGGGTGGGATAGATGAAAAGATATAAAAATGGCAAGAATAAACTTTGCTTTCTCTTAGGGAAAAATGTATCTCACTGTACAGGTTATGTTTTAAGAGTTGACTAAAGAAACAAGGACTGTTGATGTGAAATAAAATTTCAAGTAGATTTAAGCTAGTCATGCATTTGTTCATTCAAAAATATTGAATAATTGCAATGAAGTATTATGTGGGAAAGGTGACATTAAGGCATTTAAAGCCATTCAAAGAGTAATTCTTAGTGACAAAGTCTCTGTGCCCCCACCCTCTCCAAGTTTTAACTATTTTAGACAATTAGTTACATATTTATTTTGTAATCAAATAAACACAAGTTATGTCTTTCTTGATTCTAATCAGTATATACACAATTTTGCATAAATACACTGATCAGGGAGGTATTTATGAAGTGGGGGAGTGGAGAGGTTGGGATGAGGTTATTTAAGGGATGGGTTTCAGAAGATTAGGTACTTGGGCCTATAATGGGCATTGTTGCCTATCCAGTACCCATTTAAACCTCCCAACTTGACCCCAATTTTGTTTTTGTATCCACCCTTCACTTCTCAGCCAGTGTACTTATGGAGAAACTGATCCCACTCTGAGTTCCAGGGGTGGGCCTTATTTTCCAGGAATAAATCTATACCTTTTCCAGTAAATGGCTCTGGAATGCATGCACATCAGTTCAGGAATGGGCCAATGAGACACTGAGAGGAAGTTTGCTGAGGGCTTCTGGGAAAGAACTTGCTTGCTCATAATAGCTACCCGAAGTCCTGGGCCTCTTCTTCTTGGCGTTGTCTGTGTATATGAGGCATGGGGCTGGGGCAGCCATTTTGCCAGCAGCCTGAGGATGAAGCTTGCAAAAGAGATCAGGTCAAAGAACATGGCAGAGAACAGAGCTGGAGCCCTGACTGAAGCACGCCTCACCTTTGCCCTTCCTAGACCCTACCAGTCTGTTAGTCAATGAATAGCCTTGATTGTTCAGCAATTTTTACTTGAGATTTCTGTTTCTGGAAGCCAAAACAAACATTTTAAAGTATAGAATCCCAATTTGTACTTCCTTTATCTTGTTTTTATTTTTTTAACCTTTAAGGTTTGGGTTTTTTTGGATTATGAAAATAATACATGCTCATTGTAGAGAATATAAAAAACATTGAAAGATACAAAGAAGATTAAAACCATCCACAAGCCCATTCTCCTTAGATAACTGCTACTAATGTTTTGAATTAGTCTTCACTTTACATATACAAACTTACATATATATATTTATCCTGCTTTAATGAAACTCATAGGCTGGTGGGAAATAGAAACAAAAAACCAGAGCCAGCCCTGATGGTCTAGTGGTTAAAGTTCAGCGTGCACTGAACGTACTTTGGTGGCCCGGGTTTGGTTCCCGGCCACAGACCCACACCACTCATCTGTCAGTAGCCACGCTGTGGTGGCGGCTCACATATAATAACTAGAAGGACTTACAACTACAATATACAACTATGTACTGGGGCATTGGGGAGGAAAAAAAAAAAAAAAGAGGAAGATTGGCGACAGATGTTACCTCAGAGCAAATCTTTCCTAGCAAAAAAAAAAAAAAGGGGAAAAAAAAAGAAACAAACCAAAAAGTCAAACAAACAGATTAGCATCTGAGACTACTGAAAGTTGTAGTAAATATTAACTTACACTATAACTGTCCAGTGTTGGGTCAATGGTTGCTAGTAATGTTATTCCCCATTTCCATATCCCAGAACAAATCATTAAAGATTTTAAGTTAATAACTATTACAATACAATATGCTTTTAAGTGTAATATAATAATGTCTCATAATGTCCATAAAATCAACCAGTTATCAACATGTTCATTTGGTTTCCCTTCAGTGGGTGGTGTTTCTTCTTATTTATGGCAAGTTGCACCCTGTCAGTGACTGCTTTGGCCCAATCATCATTAGGTTTTTCCATAACGGTGTGTCTAACCAATTACAGCTAAAATGAATGTCTTATATTGATCATTTTGTCAGTACACATGTGAAGGGTTGTGTTCACCAGTGTGTTGGGTAAAACTCCCTGGAGTAGGCCCTTACTAGGATGGATGTTATATTGCTATGATAGTACCAATCCCTTCAGTTCTAAATGTTTTCTAATTTCCTTTATGATTTTCTGACCCATGAGTTGATTGGAAGAGTAGAAATGTGGGGTTTACTAGACTTCTGTTGGTTATTGATTTCTAACTTAACTACATAATGGTCAGAGAATGTGGTTGCTATGATACCAATCTTTAGACATGTAGACAGACCTGCTTTATGACCTAGTATGTTCAATTTTTGTAAACGTTTCACATATTCTTGAAAGGGATGTATATTCTGCAATTGTTGAGCGCAATGTTCTACATGTATTCATTAAATCAAGCTTAGTAATTGTGTTATTCTAATCTTCTAGTCCCCTAAAGATTTTTTGGTCCCTTTGATCTATGTATTACCTTCCTGTGGCTGCTGTAACAACATATCACAAACTTGGTGGCTTTAAACAACAGAAATGTATTCTCTCACAGTTCTGGAAGCTAGAAGTTTGAATGAAATCAAGGCATTGGCGGGATTGCATTCTCTCTGGAGGCTCTAGGGGAGAATCTATTCTTTGTCTCGACCAATTTTGGGTTGCTGTTGGCACTGGGGTAGGCGTGTGGCTGCATCACTCCAATCTCCGCTTCTGTGGTCACATTGCCTCCTTCTCTTCTCTGCGTCTCCTCTTTTGTCTGTTTTCTCTTCTGTCTCAGCTCTTTCTCTGCCTTTCTTTTATGAGGACACTTGTCACCAATTTTATGGCCCACCTGGATAATCCAGGAAGATCTCATCTCAAGATCTTTAGCTTAATTACATCTGCAAAGACTCTGTTTCCAAATATAGTAACATTCACAGGTTCCAGGGATTAGGACACGGACATATCTTTTTGGGCGCTACCCTTCAACCCACTGCAGTCTATTAGAGAGAGGTGTGAAAATTACCAACTCTGATGGTAGATTTCTCTTCTTGTACTTCTGTCAACTTACGCTTCATTTATTTTGTGACCATGTTATTAAAAACACATTTATGACTCTTGTATCTTCCCTGTGTATTGAATCTTTTATGTAGAGATCTGTCTTTATGCCCAGTCACACTCACTCACCCACCTACCTAAAAAGTCTATTGATGACAAACTACCAGTTGTTGTTTGTCTAAAAAAGACTATAATTTGTCTTCCTTCTTCCATCCTTTCTTTTGCTGGGCATAGAATTCTAAGGTTACATTTTTCCCCCTTAGCATTTCACTCAATTGTCTTTTACTTAAAAAATTTTCTTTTTTTTATATTTCCAAAACATCCCAGGCCCAGAGAATTAAAAACGGGTGCTGAGTCAAAACATATATGCCATTAATTAACATGAGGGAGCATTTTCCAAAATGAAATCATTGTAAGTGACTGGTAAAAACGTTCCATTAAGTACAGTGCAGAATATTTTGGGAAAACACACGTAGAGAAGCTGAAACAAATGTGGACGCTGAAGTACATCAGAGAACAATTTCTCAGAAGCTGAAGTGATTCTCCACTCCACACTAATTACATATCTGTGGAAATAAAGATTCATTATCCGCTAGCTTAAATGTAATAAAGGGTTTTTCTACAAAGCTTTATCACTAGTAGCCAGAATGAGCTCCACAATAAACGATTATAACATATATTCTCATATAAAATACCACTGATACAATTTGAGAATGCAGAGGAATAAAAGAAATTATAATAGGCTTATACAGTCTTTCTTCTTTGCCTCTCAAGACTCTCACACATCATCTCCAGTTTGTAGTCAGTTTTGTGAAACAGTGCACAAAGCTTGGTATTTTTAAGTTTAAAATTTCTGGCCTCAGTGTATGGAGGAGCTAAGAAACTTAAAAAATCTATGAATAGATCAAATGCATTTATTTTTTTAGCCACCGTGCTATATTTCGGTTTTCATACTCGGTTTTCAGGGTTTGGGTCCTGTGGGCTGAGGCCCGCGAGCAGTCCCATCAAGGGCCGCCCAGAGCGGTCCCATCCGTTCACAACGTGCGACCCGGGCCTTTTGTGGTCCCCTGGTTCCATCCTCAAGCAGATGCCAGGGATGCGAGGCGCTCTGTGGTGCGAAAGCCCGGCAAACCCCGCGAGCGCAAGAAGACCACCACCAAAACGGGTGGCTTGCGACACAGCCACCGCCAGCCCAGCTTTCAGCGCATCTTCAAGAGACTGCCCCGTTCCCCGTCGCCCTGGTAACCTGACTGAAAACGCGCCTGCGCAGGTAACTCCCTTATCACGTGAGGCCGCCAGGGGGCGGGGCCGATGAATGCTCGTCCGGACCTGTCGCCCCTCCCCTCTCAGCGCGAGGCCAGCCGAGGCGGGGCGCACCTGCCCAATTGCGCAAGGGTGACTCAAGCTCCCGCCCCTTTTCGCTTTGCTTTCTCGCGGCTGGTGCCTCGCACCACGTGCCCTCCTGGCCGCTCCCCCTGCTGCCCTTTCCAACTGCCTGTTGGAAGCTGCTGTAAAATGTCGTGAGGGGAGCTTCCGCTTTACGGCTGCCTCTCCCAGACTTGAGCCCGGGAGCGCCCACCGCCGTCAGCCCCGTCTCTGAGAGTCGGCCCCACGGAGAGTGACAGACCCGGCGCGCTGCTGCCCTCCCCGCCGCGTCCGAGCTGGCCTCCGGCAATGTGAGCTCGAGGAGACTGCGGTGCCCCCTGGCCCGGGGTTGAGACGGGCGGCAGGTGCCTGTGAGGCGGGCGGGTCCTGGGGGCCTGCAGGATGGAGGAAAGCATGGAAGAGGAGGAGGGGGGCAGCTACGAGGCGATGATGGACGACCAGAACCACAACAACTGGGAGGCCGCGGTGGACGGCTTCCGGCAGCCCCCGCCACCCCCGCCGCCCCCCTCGTCGATCCCAGCCCCGGCCCGAGAGCCTCCGGGGGGGCAGCTGCTGGCGGTGCCCGCGGTCTCTGTGGACAGGAAAGGCCCCAAGGAGGGGCTCCCGATGGGGCCGCCGCCACCGCCCGAGGCCAATGGGGTGATCATGATGTTGAAGAGCTGCGACGCGGCCGCCGCCGTGGCCAAGGCGGCCCCCGCCCCCACCCCCAGCTCCACCATCAACATCAACACCTCAACCTCCAAGTTCTGTGAGTCCAGCCTTTCCCCAGCAGCCTGGGCTTTTCTTCTCCCCACCCGGACGCCGAATCCACCCGCTCGGCCAGCCCCGCTTCCTTTGTTTCAGGCCTGGGTCTCTCCTCCCCTCCCCGTCTCCCTCCTCCCTCGTTTGGCGTCTGCGGCCAGCTCCGGGGCGGCCCTGGCTTCTAGTGTTACCTGGCCTAGAGAAGCAGCCAGGGACGCACACAGCCCCAAGTTCTGCAAACGCGATTGTTATCACAACTGTCTCTCTCTCAACAGTAGGAAGCTCTTTTCTTCTCCGTTCCCCGTTAAAGTTTCACCCTCGAACGTGAGGGGAAAAGAAAGCTGCCTGAGTTTGGTTAGGGAGAGGCCTTCAGTCTTTCTTTTGCAGCCAGAGAGAAAAGAAATCTGCCAACTTGTGTTCTTGTGCTTTTAGCCAGGCTGCGTTAAACAAGTCAGGAATTAGAAAGTTGACCTGTGTCTACACCTCGGTCTTTCCCTTCTCCACTGTACATCTTCTGCATCCTGATAGCGAAGTGTATGAGTGGCTTCTTGAGTAACACCAATGCAGTGGGAGCTGCGACATCCGTTTTGAAGCTAATAATGTATAAAATTACTTTTCAAAGCCTACACTCATAAGAGTAAGCCATTCAGCATGTGTCCAAATCCAAGATTCTGTTGAATGTTGAACTTTATGTTAGTGATCATCCTTAACGCTCAATTGCAGGCAGAAAGATGTAAGACCATAGTCTGTTTTGGAATCTGAAACTGTTCCCAACCAGGATGTATGCTTCCATAGCTAGGAAAAAAAGTGCTTTTGCTCTGAGTGGGTTTTTTGGCAAGTGGTGGTGGTGAAAATTGACCATCACAGCCAGATTTTTCTCCCCTATTAATAACTGGCAAGTTTTGAATGGCATGTGGTAAACCAACTGCAGATGTCATTTGTAGTTACTAATTTTATCAAGCTGTACCAGTAATTGTCCAATTAGCTGTGCAGAGAAAATATCTTCCTTGATTCAGATATATAGTCACAGCCTTACACTTCTTTTTGTGTGGGAACAAGCACATTACCTTATTTGCCTTCGAGATAACTGCTTTAGTCAAAGACGTTCATATGTAGGTATGGTTGGTAAGATTTGTATATGATTTTTTCCTTGTTATGCATACATAAGAATAATGTTTATATTGTATAGTTTGTGTGTTGAAGTCTATGTAGTGAAACCAGACTTTGGACAGAGTGGCAGGGTGACTTACCTAATGCTGAAGGAAACTTGCTTTAGTGCTTAGACAAAATTCATTTGAAGAGTTCAGAAAAGATCGTAAATTTAAGAGCAGAAATCAGTGAAATTAGGAACAAAAGGAAGATTTGCCCAACCAAAAGATTATTCTTTGAAGATTAGTAAGCTAGACGGACCTCTAAGATTGATCAAGAAAAAAAGATGCAAATAAGTGAGAATGGGAAATAACTACAAACATGAGATTTTTAAAAAAGAATTTTGTGAATTGCTATAGGTTAATAAATTGGAAAGCCTAGATGAAATGTATAATTTCTTAGAAGACTACAAACTGAAAGTTGGTATCAGAAGTAGATAACTTGAATTGACTAATAAATATTTAATAAACTAAAATGGTAAAGACCTCCCATTGCAAAAACTGGACTGAGATAATCTAATAAGTGAGCTGCATCGAACTTTTAAATAACACTTAATTCCTTTTTACAAGTTGTTCTGGGAAATAGGGGAGAAAAAAAAGATGCCAAGCTCATTTTATGAGGTTAGTTAAATCTTGATTCTAAAACTAGATAAGGACAATATGAGAAAATTATAGATCTGTTTCAGTTACTAATATAGATATGAAAATCCTACACAAAATACTCATCAAATCCAACAAGGTGTTAAAAGAATCGTGATCCAGAGTTTGTTTTAGGAATGTAAGTATGGTTGAACATCTATCTATTAATGTAATTTATCTCATTAATAGACTAAAGGAGAAAAATCATGATTATCTCGATACCGTAAAATCGCTCAATAAGATCCCGCACCTATATATGGTAGAAACTCTTAGCAAACTTGGAATACAAGATAACTAGATAAAGGTCATTACCAAAAACCTACAGCAAATAATAATACTTAATGGAGAAATTTTAGATACATTTGCTTTAAGATTGGTAAACAAGATAAGGATGCCCTCTATCACTATTACTGTTTAACATGATAAGAAAAGTCCTGGTTAACACTACAAAGGGAAAAAATAAGAAGTATTAGAATACGAAGGGAAGCAATAAAACTCATTATTTGCAGATAATACCCCTTACCTAGAAGAACTATTAGAATCTAAAGAGAAGGTATTAGAACTAGTCAGAGTTTAGCAAGGTTACTGGATTTAAGATCAACCTACAAAAATTAACAGCATTTACTACACTAGCAATAACCAAGTAGTAAAGGTAATCAAAAGGAAATACTATGTACAATGATAGTAACAAAACTATAAAAACTCTAGGAATTAACACAAGAATACACAAGACCTTTAAGGAGAAAACTTTAATAAGGAACTAGAAGACGATCTAAATAAATGGAAAAACTTTGCACGCTCTTGGGATAAGACTACTTATTATAAGAATGTCAGTTTTCTCCATTTTAATCTATAAATTTGATTCAACTGCCGTTACAATTCCTGTTGGTTTGTCTGACAAACTCAATAATCTAAATCTAAAATTTATATGGCAGATAGGATAAAGTTTGTGAATAGCTAAATCAATGTTAAAGATTTGTTTTCGTGGGGGCTTGCCTTAGCAGAAGTTAAGATACTGTTTCAGGGCTGTAGTAATAAAAACTGTAGTATAAGTGCAGGAACAGAAACATAGACCGGGGGAACAAATTAGAGAGCAGAGACTTACCTGTATATGTTCAGGAACTTAAGATAAAGGTGGCATCATAAGTCAGTGGAGAAAGGAGGCAGGCATGTTTTTAGGAAGAGTGGCTCACTATATGGAGAAAAAACAAACCTAACAGGGTGGACAATCGATAAATTAAAGACCTAAATGTGAAAGGGAAAATGATAAAAATTAATGGAAGACAACGTTGAAGAAGCTTTTTCCCTAGGGGCAGAGAAGGACTTCTTAAAGGTTCAAAAACTTATAACGGTGAAAAAGTAATGACTTTGATTATATAAAAATTAAAGATTTTCATTCAGTGAAAGAATGAGAGAAAATATTTGCAGTGCCTAAAATTGACCAGGGCTTAATATCTAGAGTAGAGAAGGAACTACACATCAATAAAAAGAAGGCAGCAACCCCTGTAGAAAAATAGGCAAAGAATATTAATAAGTAATTTACACAGTAGAAAATCCTAACAAGCCTAGAAAGAGATGTTTGAAATTACTAAATAATCAGAGACATGCAAATTAAGAGAGTAATGCAATGTGTTTTTCCGCCTATTAGGTTGGCAAAAAGTAGAAAGCTGGATGGTACCAAATGTGGGTGGGGATATGGGGATACAGGATTCGCTGGTAGGACTCACAGTGTAGTGGACCTGTGAGGTGTTGAGATGCCAATCTCTCTGGACCAGATAATGAAAGATAGCTGTAGTGTTGATGAAGCCCTGAGCTGTGATGGGGAAGGTGTACTTCTGGACTGTTAAGATGAAAACAGCTTTTGGTGGTCTGTTTTTGGAAGAGATTAAAAAAAAAACATTTGTTATCTTAAGGGATGCATACTAGGTGCCAGGGACTGTTAATTTGTCCCAGTGAAGAGACTGTATCTGGAACAGCAGCTACAGTTGTAGTCGCCACTTGATTTGATTTACTATGTACTCTACGCTTCTTCTCCAAGACCCATCTCCTCTGCACTGGCCACAGAGGCTAGTGAGATGGGAATGTCCTAACAGTCACTGTCCCTGTATCTTTTAAGTCTTTGCAGTTGGCGCCATCCCCGGCTGTTTCCACAGGGCTGTGCTATTGTTTTGGGTTTATTGTTTTGGTAGGAAGGGGCACATCTAGGGGATCTTACTTGACCCTTCCTACACTGATAACCCTTACTGAGTAGTTTAGGGAGGCTTTAACTGCATTCAGCAACTAGGGAAGTTACAGGATGGGTCCATGGATCCACTGGGCCCACTATGAGATGGATTGAGGCCGAAACACGATTGATCAATGTGACATCTATAGCTCCTGATCTGACTAGTTTACCACAGTGACATTCTGGTCCCTAAGAGTTAGTATTGGCTTAGAGTCAGTGTTGATTAACCCCTAAAAAGCCTGAGTGATTCTCTTTCTCAAATGCACCGTCTCCTTGTTTCATAGCTGCACGCTCTATTGGAAAAGGCTAGGAGGAAGCTTTAAGTATGCTCTTGATGCAATTTTATAGGATCCTTCCTCAGTGGAACCCATTTTCTCCTTTATTCCAGGAATTCTGTATCTGTGAACAGGCTCAGTCTGGGTATTAGGTGAGGTGCCATAACTCTCCATTGTGGCCACTTAAGTCAGGCCTCTGTTTGATATACCTGGAGTTTTTTGTTTTTTTTCTTTTTTCTTCTCATTATACAGATCAAGTAATACCTTAGTATACTGCCCATCTGTTTTTCCTAAAGACACCGTGGTGAGCCACCACCAGAGATCCAAGTCATTCTGATAACTGGTTTGGCCCTGCTGCCTATTATAATAACCATTCCCACTTTATATCTGAGGAGTTAGTGTTTCTGCTTACCCTTTGCCACTCTGTGAATCCCATTATCCCACTGAAATCAGGGAGCCCCTTTTAATGGCAGTATTGCCTGTCTTTAACCCAGAACTACAGAGGACAGCCATCACAGCATTTTGTTTTTATTTTATTTTTTTGGTGAGGAAGATTCGCCATGAGCTAACATCAGTTGCCAGCCTTCCTTTTTTTTTTTTTTTTTTGCTTGAGGAAGATTAGCCCTGAGCTAACATCTGTGCTAGTCTTCCTCTATTTTGTATGTGAGTCATCACCTCAGCATGGCTGAGGAGTGGTGTAGGTCTGTGCCTGGGATCTGAA